CCTAATTTTTTTTGTGTTTTTTAAAAAGGTCAAATTTTTTAATTTTTTTTTTTTTTTTTTTTTTTTTTGCTCTGTTGTGTTGAGATCTTGGATCTCAATGAGACAACCTGTATAAATAAACATCAATTTTTAAAGTATTTTTCTAAGTAGTGCAGTTAGACCCTCAAATACTTACAGAAAACTTTTTACCTCCTACTTCTCATGATTATGTAAAATATTTTTAAATGTTGTCCCTTTTCACTTTGCTCTGCCCTTTATGTTGTCCTGGCAGTGCCTGCAGTTCTCCAAGAAGCACTTCAAGTCAGTGATAGAAGCATTAAGAATGAACTGAGCATCACACAGGGTTTGGTGTGGAGATACACGGCTGTGCTGGAGAAGCTAACGCACCCCAACATTCAGTCTGCCCAGTGTGAAATGCCCATCACCCAGCTCAAACAGGCGCTCTACAACGTCAGGCAGCATGAAAGTTTCCTAAAGATTTTACAGGTGAGAAAAAAGTAGTCTAAGATTAAGACATATTATTTTAACATGTAACAACCTACTGCTATTGATCAGGGATGTGCAATATATCAATATCCGTATCAACATCAATATCGGCCAATACTTTTTTTTTTTTTTTTTAAATATGTCTTTTTTTGATAAGAAAACGTGGGCCAATATTAGCAAACAATGTTTCTTTCTATCAGAGAGGTGATCATGTGGTGTTTGTTAGGTCATGTGATACCGATGCAGTGGAGTGTCTAGCAGAGACGCAATGTAGGCGCAGTGGTCACCATAAATTTACATGTCTAAAGGGTGGAGACACTCAACATTCATCTAAGCAACAGTTGACCTGCAAAAAGTTACAATAAACTACAAGATGAATATGACCCACATTTAACCCCACTGATGAATTTGTGGGAAAAAACACCAAAACACAATGATTATATTTGAGTTTGTAAGATGCTGAAAACTTCAGTATTTTAACTGTGATTGTTGGAGAAAGAAAAGTAATAAAATGTGGCTGTTAAAGAGATAAAAGTGTTTATAAAATGTGCACTAATGACTGCTTGTCAAATAGTTACAAATACTTGGCATGACAGTGATCCTGAAAAGTCTAATTCAGGAGATGACTAACTGGACTGTAGTAACATCTGATCACAGAGGTGAGAACAAACTGATGAACAAACCAGGTTTCATTTCAACAAGGACAAAAATAATTCATCAAGAGTTTAGTGAAATGTTTCTTAAGAGCTTCATCAAAAATATATACTAATATCTGACATAAAAATAAAACCTGTGTTAAACATTTGCATTGTTTTAATTTTTAAAAAGCCATGTCTGCTGGCGAGAAAAGCATATGAAATTTGTCACAAATCTGGTTGTAGAAGAATTGACACAATGTTTAATTATTTTCCATTGAAGAAACTTGTTTTGTGATAATGCATAGATAATCATATTAAGATATTTTAATGTCATTTCATTAAACAGTAAATAGTATGCAATAAAACAAGACAGCTTTTCTTCATGAAAATTAAACGGATCAGAAAAACTGATCAACAGATGAATCAAAAATGGTTAAAGATAGTTTATATAATACAAAATATGTACTTAAGAATTAATATGTGTTTCCTCTTTGCTGCCAGTCTGATGCGAGTGTATGTTGCCAGCGTATGGAGAGTCGACAGGCTAAGCTTTCATCTGTGTTGAAGCAGTTGAGACAAACTGTGCAGCCAAATACAGCCATACCAGGTTCAACAGTCTTTGTAAGTGCTTTACAGTTTACAGCCTTTTCTCCTTTTAGTTTTTATGTTTATCATCTGAAATGAATTTAAAAAATATGAACCTCGGAGGAGTCCTGAGTTATATTTTAGATAAAAACACAAGAAACAGCGGTAAGCACACTACCTTCCATCTGTGTTGTGCTATACAAATAAAAGCTCTTAGTTACTCTGCTGCCTCAAAAACACACTGAAGACCAACATCTACTGCTAGCACAGCTAAAGCAGCTGGTAGTGGTTCAATACAGCACTCATATAAACCATCCACCTATCTGGACAAGGAGATCATATGGGGAGGGCTCATCCTAAGATTTGTAATGTCCTTGAAAATATTTGAGAGCTTAAACCAGATTCCTAAATTCTGCATTAACTGCATAGATAATCCCAGACATACAGAGGCAGTACTGGCTTGCAGGATACATTTAACACAGTGTTTGATACTGGCCAAAAGATCGTAATTCAATGTTTTCTCCCATTTTCCTGAAAACATGACAATGTTTTATTGTGACTCCAAATCCTCCATATTTAAAGATAGCCATGAATGTCCAAAGATCATTTTTGACATCTGACTTTCTTTTTCTACATTAGAAATGTTGCTCTATTGACTCATAATAGTCATTTTTATTCTGTCACAGGCTCACAATTGTTTCTGTAGAGTATTATATGCTTATCACAATAAACAGTGAAAGAGAATAATGCTTAATTTTTTTTTCTAAATAAACATCATGGTCCAGTTCTGAAGCTAGAATAAAAATTGTTTACATTTTTTCAAGATTATTGGACCTTAACCAAACTCAAGTATCACTGTATTTTCAGTATGTTGTACATGTATTTGAAAGCACCACCAAACAACAGTGGGTAGTGCTTTCTAGTCTAGCAAAACCCAACACCCCACCACCATGGACAGGCCCAGACACAAAGCAGGCTGCAATTCATCACTTTCCTACAATAATGGCCTGAATCTTTGTTTTTATCTTTTATTTTTTTTACCAAACATGATTTTTTTTTTTTTTTTTTTTTTTACCAGACATGATTTTTGTTTTTAGCCTACATCAAGTTTTGGCAAAAAAAAAAAAAAAAAAAAAAAAAAAAATTCAGACGTTTTTTCACAAAAAAATCAAAA